ACAAAAAGACTTTTCCCTTGTAATCGAAAGATTGTTGAGAATTTATTTGTGTAGATGATTAGCTGGTGAGTGGTGACGTATTAATGATTAGCAGTGGATTCTGAACTTGAAGAAAATTGATCAAGGCCATAATCAAAAGTCAACCTTAATTAATATACTGCTTTTTGACTTATTTCATGGATCTTGTGTATTGATCTATATAAAACTCAACAATCACAAATAGCTGCTTACTTATATAATTAGGTTAATGATAATGATCACTTAAAGCTTAATTAAGTTTTATCATATTCTGGCGATTATATACGGATTGCACCTTAGTAATCACAATCAGAATCATCATATACACTCGCCTTAACAAAAATACTGACACTGCTAGCTAGTATTGATTGATTTTTTTTTTTCAAACACTCAAAAGGATAGAGGTTAAGGCGGGACCCTCAACTTATATATAAAAAGTTTCAAAATAGGTAGAAAAGTCACATTTCTACAAGTCTCATGTATGATATACATCAAGTCAAACTAAAGCAAAAACAGAAATAAAAAAAAAAGACACAAAAAAGCCGACAACAGCAGCAACTAACATAAAAATATCAGGTCCTGGTCTAGAAAAAGTCCAGGCGAGAAGTCAGCATCATGGAAAAGCACATGCGCCAAAAGGTAGGACTGACTACACAAATATGAATGAAGGGTATCCTATATGGTCCATCCGTATAAGGGTGGGGAGGCGGAGAGGAATATCTTCAGAGTAGAGGATGCGCCTCTAGGGGTGGAGGACCCAAAGCCAGCAAGGAAGTCAACAAGTATGTTCCCCTCGCAGAAGATGTACGAAATCCGAAAATGAATCGTCTGAAGTGTGGCTCTAATATGCATGAGAGGATGTTGAATCTGCCATGTGCCCTGATAGCCAGAGGTCAAGAGAGTGATGACAGCGGCAACGTTCAACTCTATACAAATGTCAGAAGAGATCGAGGCGGCAATCTAAAGTCCCATCTGAAGCGCATGAACCTCCATGTCATAGCTCGAATAGGCTCGAAGAGGGGCATGGAAAGCGGTAATAAGTGTACCGTTATGGTCCCTAATCATGCCTCCACCTCAGGCGACTCTGGTAAGTTGGTCAAAGGATCTGTTAGTGTTTAGCTTCATACAAGGAGGCTCGGGTCTCAGCCAAATAACAACTCTAGAGCGTGGATGCTGGACAGTCGGCAATGGAGATGGTGCAAAGCGACAAGGTGGTTTGAAGCATGTCCAGTCTCTCGGCGCAAGTCTACTCAGAGCGGTGAGGAGAGATAGAAGTTTGTCAACCTGCAAAATATGATAACACAAAAAAATATCCCTATGCTTCGTATTGTTCCTCTCTGTTCTGATGGACTAAAGGATCAGACAAGGAATACATGAGAAAACAAAAACAAAATATCCCTAGTATTGATTGATTATACATCTACAACATAAATGACTTTAGGTAGCAACATCAAATGTAACACTTTACAAATAGGTATCATATAAGTGTTATCAAAAATTACCAAAAGTATTACCTATTTCTAAAGTGTTACATTTGATGGTACTACCTAAAGCCATTTATGTTGTAGTATTACATGAGAATACTGTTGATAATTGAGGCAGTACTTTTGTTTTCCCTAAATAAGCCAATTTTCTCTTATGTAATAATTAATGTAAGAAAAATTGGTTTTGTATCGATTTGTGGTTCCATTCTTTATAAGTGGAAGACTTAAAATATTTTCAATACCATTTTAAAGTTAAGCCTTCTTTTTTATATTTACAAACAAAACAAAGTACAATTAATTTCCCATCCACCACGCAAATCATTCATATATATGTTAAACTAGATCTCTCTATTTGGTATAGTTGCAAAACAATACATTAGCCCTCTGAAAAGGAAATAAATTTACAACTAAAATCCACAAAAATTAAACACAAGAAAAATGCATGGGGACCATGCAAAGGATTTTGCTATATACAATGGGTGTAAAATTACACAAGAATGTTACGAACTGATATGTATTTTTCAAATAATTTAGTAATAAAAAATTACAATTGAATTAAAAAAATAAATTATAACTGAAAAATGGAAAGATTTTAGCCGGTGAGTAAAACTCTTTCCGCGAATAAAACATTTTCCTCAGTAATATATATATATATATATATATATATATATATATATATTTCGTATTTTTCCTCTTCTATTGTATATATTTTCTCTTCTCTTGTTTCTATATGATAATTTTATCTCCAAATATATAACAAAACCATTACATACAATATCTCACCAGTACTCCATTTTAGGCCCACTTAACCCACTTCTACTGTTTATGCAACACCAATTTCTTCTCCTTCCCCTTCATATCATATACCCTCCCTCTTTATCTTTCTCCCATCACATTTTCCTTCAACAATAAACCATAATTTTTTAATTTTTGAAAAAAAAAATAAGGAAAAGGAATATTATGGACCAAGCCGAGAGAGAGACTCGTGACTTGACTACTGTCGAGTCTTTCTCTCAGCTCCCCTTCATCCGCCCGCCAGCTCGGGAAAAACCCTCCGGATCCATTAGGCTTTTCGGGAAAGAATTTGGCAGCCCGCCCACTGAGGAACAATCGGATCAACCGAGCAAAGACCAAACGACGAGCAACAACAATATGGAAAATATGAGCAGCCGAAGATTTGAGTGCCATTACTGTTGCCGCAACTTCCCCACTTCACAAGCCCTCGGTGGCCACCAGAACGCCCACAAGAGGGAACGCCAGCACGCCAAGCGGGCCCACTTGCAAGCCCACGGTGGACTCGATGCGCACGATTACACCTATACTAGCCGTTTCCCTACCTCTACTGGCTATCATTCATGGAGCAGGGTCTACAGCAACACCGGCCCGTATGCTCATTATCATCAGCCAGCGGCTCACGAGCCCATCAACGGCAGCCCTCTGGCCATGTGGCGGCCGATCCCTCATGGCTCGCCGTTCAGGCCGAGGCATGCAGATATTAGTTCGTTTTTTAATAATTTAAAGGAGGATGGGGCCCACCCGGCAAGGCAGTCAGCAGCAGCAAGTGTGGGGCAGTTAGGGTGCGAAATGAAGACGACGAGCATGAAGGACCATGTGAGTTTGGATCTACGGCTTTAGATTTAATTTTTGAATTAGATTTGTTAAATTGGATATTTCATCTATCTCTTGAGAAATTAATAACGATGTTCCAAGCTTGTTTTATCGATCGGGGACAAAATTGATGATCGATCGATAGTGTTTGACATGTGATCATCAGGCTGTATGGCTATGGGCTAAATATATATATATTGTATTGTATTACAATAAGATTGCAATTGCTGGTATTTAGGGCTCCTATAGCTAGCCAGGTTTGTTTGAGAAATAACAGCTACGTACGTACTTATTAGTTTGTCGAAATATAATAATATGGAATTGTTTTTCATTTCTCAATTGATCTGGATTTTGTTTGTTAATTAGGATGTGCTAGCTTCGTGATTTTCTTCTTGTTGAGTGAACATATGTATACTGTTATGACTGTATGAAAAAAGAAAAGAGAAAAAAAAAAAGTTAAGAGAGATAATTATAATTTGTGCAGTGCATATATATATATATGTATGTTCATGGTACAGCAGCTAGCTAGCTGTAGTAGGGCTTCAGCAAAAAACGAAAGAGGATAAAGGAATGATCAGTAATGAAAGCAGCTGAAATTTGTTAATATATTTATATACTATATATATATATATATATATGTATCCCACTTAAACTTGACTGTAAGTGATGAATTAATGAGCGCACATATATATATATATATATATATATATATATATGTATCCGATCTCTCCTGTTGCAATTTCACCTTGGATATATCATATCAATTGCTTGTTTTGATTAATGACACACTTGCACAAATTAATATATTTGTGACATCATCATCGATCATCATCATCATCATCATCACCTTTGTTATTGAGTAGTAGTCATCATCATGTCTGCAAGCAACACTTTTGCTTTTGCAGAATCAACAAGATAAATAAAGAAGATCGAATGCAAGAATTTAAAATTGATCAAAAACAGAATAACCAAAGTATGAAATCCCCAAATTAAATTCCTCACTTTCATATTACTTTATGTGCAAGAATTTTTAATTAAATCAAAGTGAAACGAAATAATTATCTCTGCATGAGCGCTTAACTATATACATATAATTATATAAATAGAGTGATTTAGTTCATAGTATATATATTAATTGTACATACGGTAAATTAAGGTTGTGGTGGCATTTTTTAGTCCACTCGATCGCTTGTGGTGGTGTAGACTGTAGATGTTTTTTGTTATATAAATAAATGTGTGTGTTTTGGTTTGGGGGTCCCCATATGTATGCTTCATATATAGTTGAAAATTAATTTATAGTACATTAATAAAGCTAAAACCGTTGCGCTTGAGGTGTAGCTGGGCCTTCCGAGTTTAATTTATAAGTCCATCGTGCTGCTAACTACGTGGATTTTTTTTATTTTTTTTTAGAGTCAAACGTTGGAACCCTAGCTAACTAGTGATAAACTATCATATATATATATATATGGCTTTCTGAGTCAAAGTCAAGTTCAAACCCATTCCCATTTATGTGCCCCTAAAATGTCATATTCATCAGGAGCTTCTTTTCCCCTTTTTTTTTTTTTTTTTGAGCTACATAACATTGAGCTATTATTCGAAACAAATTATTTGCGAACACAACTTGATTTGGCATGTCAAAGCTCGAATACAAATCGTTGATACAGTTCAAAAGGCTAAGCTCGAATATTTATTAATCCAGTTGTTTATTAAATAATTACGATTTCAAACATAAGACATCCGGCTTGTGTCGACTCGTATAACATCTCTAGCTAGATGCCAAGCATAAAGAAATCAAAGTATGAAATAATTCTTTAAATATTCAATACATGAATTTATACAAAGTTAAATAAAAGAAAGTATATTATAAAAATTCAGTGAATGTCAAAACTAAATTATGAAAATTCATAAATTTAATCGTAACACTACAAGAAAACACTTCAATTCCAACGAAGAATTCCAACGGCAAAAATTTATGTTGAAAATTCCAATGAATATTCCAACAAACTTAATTGTATGTTGGAATAAGTGTTGGATGGTTGAGAAATATTCCAACGGATTTTTTCCGTTGGAATAACTGCAGGAATTTATTTCTATAGGATTTTCCGTTGGATTTTAGCTATTCCAACGGTCGTTTTTCCCACGAATTTTTATACGTAGGAATATCCGTTGGAATAGTTATTCCAACGGGAAATATAAAGAATTTTAAAAAAAATTCCGTTGGAATTTAAGGGTTTTTTTGTAGTGTAACAAATAAATATTCCAGTGGAATTCTAGAAGAAACAATTGTAATAAAATCAACTTGTGTGCATGAATTCAAACTAAATATATTTCTAAATTTTTCATCACAAATCAATTCCTATTAGCTATTGATCATTACATAAAAAAAAAAAAAAAGAAATATCTTCATAGCTCCATTAAAGCAAACATCAATCAACGAACTTCTTACAAGTAAAACTAATAAATTATTGGGTTTCTTTCTAAAACCATATGAGCTAATAATATTGAGCTGAAAAAAATATTCATATAGACTCTTTCCCTTTAAAGGTAAGCATTTCAAATATGCCACGCAGACGCTAGATCTCACATATATTCTACAATGCAATGCAATGCACACAGTAGCTCAAGTCATCCGATGACCCTAGCTCGAGCCTAATTACCTCGGACAAGACTTCCGATCAACCTCTAGTTGCCATTATTCGAGCCATATCTTAACTTTCGACAGGGTCCATTACCGAGTTTTTCAGGTCGGCTATATCATATATCATGCTTATTTTTCGTGATTCCTCTTACTCATAAAATATTAATAACAATAATAATAATAATAATAATGCGCCAATTAAATGAGATGTTATAAATAGTTCTGTCAAACCTAAAAAAGCCAGTGGTCTTAACGTCGTATTGTCATGTTCAATAGATGTGCCATAAAACTTTGTCGATGCTATTCAATATCAAATTTTTTAGTACACAAAAACTATATGAATATGCTGCATTATATTAGCAAGAGTGGAGTACTATTATTATTTTCTTATAAAAGGAAAGAGAAAATATCCAAGTTACGTTATTTAATTATAAATTTTTACTATGAATTGAAGGAAGTGTACTATATATATATATATTTGCATGCATCTCTTTCAGCTGCTGCTGTTATCTATTGCAGAGTAAATATCATGAAGTGGTCTGTGGGGGTCGTTTGGTGAGCCACGCTCTCTCTCGATCGTACATACATATTCTCCATATTTTATATTTTGCTGTGTGTGCTGTGATAAATTGAACTTTATTAGACAGCCGTGTAAATTGAAACTTTAATAAATTAATTTATATATTTAATTTTTTTAAAAAAAATTATTTAACATATTAATACCCGTAAATCGTAAGACTTGCTCGTACTTATTATAATAAACTTTTGAATTCATGGTAGTAATTTCATTAATTTTAGCTAGAATTGATAAAAGTTGCAAACATTTAGAAGTCTAGATTCACAAGTATGTTCAGATCCACCAGAAATTGACACATGCATATGGTTCTCACATTTAGGTTGCTCTGCATTTATTCATAGAAGGAATATTTTTCCAGAAATACTTTTTTTTTTTTTCCATAAACAAATAATGTAAGGTAAATGCAGTAAAGACATTAAAAATAATTTTCCACAAAAAAATGACGACCAGTAAAGAAAGTAGGGGAGGGGTGTAATCAATGTCACGTGAGCACACACACACACACATACCCAAAGTGTTTTGGTCAATAAAATGTTATATTTGAATGCTAAAGAAATGGAAATTTACTATTATCCACTAAAGGAGGAAATAAACAAACATTAATATAGACAAGACACTGAGTATCTATCAGCCATAAAATTGGCACTTAGAGATTGATTGCTTTTTTTCATCCTATTGTGCACTACACATAGGTCACTGAATTTTTCCCACAACTATCAGTGCCAAAAATAACAATGCTAAACAAAGGACACCAAATATTCCCATTTCACATAGCTAGCCACCAATTCTACATTCTTTCAGCATTAAATTTAAAGCATGTAAAATTCTAAAGGTAAATATTACTATATTTTTTAAAAAAAAAAAAAAAAAATCCCTATGAAGCTTTCAAAACACAGTCTTCTGTTGTTGTTAATAGTAAAAGGAATTTATTAAACCAAAAGTAGGGGTGTTATTAAATTATTTTTTACAGTGATAACACATGTCAATTATGTGTAGGACCAAGAATTAATTCAATCTGGTGGGGATGCATGAAAGGGTGCCTACAGAATAAAATGTACAGAGAAAAAGATGACAAATAAAGGAGCCCAGAACAAAGACATATGAAGAATATAACCATATATATAACTCACGACCACTTTACCTCAAACACCACAATTAAATTTAAGTTACATCGGCCCACAGTCCTATAAAGCATGCTAATGAGGTTGACTGTTTTGACCCACAGTCCTATAAAGCATGCTAATGAGGTTGACAGTTTTGAACAGAGTAGCCGTGCTTGCGTCAAGGCATAAACATATGATTTGGCTTTGAACCATCTATGCATTCAAAAATCGTTAAGATAGCATACAAGATCGTGTTTTTCTATCATTTTAATTAGTTTGTACTCTCGTAGTTATCCCTGCATACACAGAATAGTGTCACCAAAGGTATCTGAATATTGAATAGAAGAATATGATATGTTTTGGTTTTCAGTAAAAAAACACCTGTTGAAATTAAAACTCGCGATCACAGGGGTTCACATTTGACCAATGAAGTAGTTTCACTGGGAACCATCACTTATGCAGGGAGTCCAAGTAGTTTGATTGAGTCTATATATAATTCTGAAGAGTCCAGTGAGTAAATTGTTCACAGTTTTGAAACCACCTATTGACTGCTCAAGTAAAATTGACAAGATTTTGAATTGTTGTTTCGTTGTATCTTTTCAGAATAATTTGCACACTCATACTCCAAAATCCAAAAAGAAATACATAAGAGATAAACCTTTAATCTCTTATCAGCAAGACAATACAAGAATGCACTGGAACAAAGCTTGTAACAGATCAGAAAAACAACAAAATAAACCAATCAAACACCAATTACAAACTGATAATAACACTGTCCCATGAATCTACAATCCCAAGGTAGCCAGCTTGCACTACCCACAAGAAAAAACAAAAACACAACACACCAACACAAACCCTACACAATACACGTACACAATATAATGAGCCCAACTCAGCAACACCATAAACCTTCAGCTTCCTTGTTTTACACAAGCAGTGTGTGTTTTTCGGAAGTGAAAAACCCTTCCTAATAAAGAAACAAAGATACCCATCAAAACTCATAAAACATATAAATGCAGCAAGCTGCAGCGTGAAGTAAACATATCGACAGGCAGATTATGTGTACCTCGAGACCACACTATGAAAGCCAGACCAATGCAAGTTAATCACAAGACAGTTTTGGTTCGCTAATGTGTGCAGCAGCCTGAAACATGTTATAGATAATTCAAAATATTCTTTTAACTTTTTGCTCAAGACAGATTCTACAAAAGTCCGCCTGCAGTGGGTCTCAACTGGCTGTAAAACTCAGTGAAATCCAATCGAAACATGAGGAACTTCAGGTCAACATGTTGCTGTATGGGCAGTTGAGAAATGAAACCCTCGAAAACAGATGAATATTCCTTAGCGATTGCATCAATATCTTGCCCCATGTTCCGAAGAAATTCCCCAGCACGTTTAGTTATGTCTTTTCTGCCTTCACCAAGCCACGGCCCAGGCTCTGAAGGTTTGTTACTTGATGCCCTCTGCAATCTGACTTTATCTCGAGAAGTAGGGTCCGCAATTCTGCAAATTCATTAAAGTAATAATTAAAATAAATTAAAAGAGAATCTTTTATTCGTTGTCCTCTGATATAGAGGGAAAACAGGTAAACAAAAAAAGGTTGTTACCTAGACTGCAGTTCGTAGATGCCTTCATATAACCGATCCGCATGGCTGTGGAAACGTAATATGAGATCAAACAAAGTAAAAAGTGTCTTGTGAAGATTTTGCGACCTCTCACCAAGAAGAGACTTCTCGACAATCGAATGCAGGTACTTTTCATGTGCCCCAAGCAAGTCATCAAGATCTTTAGCTACTTCCAATTCCCTCAACAGATCAGACCACGAAACCTCTAACACCTCAAACATTATGTAATACTGCAGATTCGAAACGAAATGATTCATCTCGTCCCATAAAACCTGACACTTTCTCGAAGTCAGAATCAACTGCAGCTTAACAACATGTGGAAGCTTAGAAAAGAATCGAGAAGTGACACGGTTCGGCTTCATAGTTTTCCATACACCAATTAGCGCATGCTCCACCCTCCTAAGCTTCCACAAAAAGTTAAAGATTCTCAGGTACCTCGACATAACGGATTCCGAAAACACAGTGTTCAATGGGACCCTTGCGTCATACTCCAATGAGAACACGTCCCATCCCCTGTCCCCCGTGTTGTGTGGCATCATCTTCACCCTTAACCTGTCCAATATATCAGGGTCATCATATTGCGCGTTTGATGACCTAATTGCGCTCTCCAAAAGCCCAGCTAGCTTGAACGAGCTTATAGTGTTGGCGGGCTCCGACAGCTCAGGCCCAACAATATCCATCAAGTACTGAACAAAGTCGCCTTGACCGAGAAGCAAATATCTCTTGATGGCGAGACAATGCTCTTTGAACCTGTATTTTTTATGCATTACGTCTAATAAATGTGTATCTACTCTTTTCGCAGCCTCTGTGACCAGAGATTCAAGCGCGTCAGTTTCTCCATAGCCGAGGCCGCCCCTGCAAGTGCTCGTCCCAGCCGCCACTGCCGCCTGTGTAGCTGACTCGGCCCAGCCTTGGTCCTCACAGCAAACTCTGAGGAAATTGATCGACTTCCCAGTCCTCAGAATGCGCTGTGCAAGAGATGAGGAGATGAAAGAGGGAAGCATTGCTGCATGGAGCCTGTATCCTTCCCTCCAGAGCGACTCGGCTTTGACAGGTTGACCCAAGACAAAGAACTCGGAAAAAATGTCCTCGAGCTCCCCTTCCAAAACCCAACTCCTCACCATCTCAAAAAGCGGGGAGCACACACGGCGGAGCAGCCTTTTCATGAAATCGTTCACTAGAGGGTCCCCATGCTGGGCATGCATGTGTATAGCCCCAGCCATGGCCCCGCCTTTTAGGACCTTACAGCTGTCGACTAAAAGAGCCATCAGCCTCATCTTGACAAGAGGTTCAAAAAACCAAACCGACAGTCTCCTCAGCGAAAGATAGTTACCCGAGCTTGCATTTTCTGAGACTAGTGGGATCGGATTCATTGCTTGGGCTTCGAGCACAGCCAGTAGCTTATAGTACTCAGACAATTCATCCTGTAGTGCAGCACAGAATGCTTGACCAACAGTCCCCACATCCTCAGCTGGAAACCGGGCCATACTTTCTGTTATGTACCCTTTAACTTTCCTGAAAAGCCAGCCAAGCTCACAGAGCTTCCTCACCATTACCCGAGTTGATCTTGGTACTTTAACTGGCTCAGGCAGCAGATAGGCATCAGCCTTCTCGTCAAAATTTATGTACTTCCCATCAATCCCCTGACATGCATACATCACATCCCTCACTAAAACCACTTCTGAGACCTCATTTTCTTCTTTTATCAAATCCACAAACTCCCTGTATGCCATATCACGAATATTCTCAGGGTCTTTAGACACCATCAATATGCCTCCATTGTATCGTTTTTCGATGAGCTCCCTCGCCCTTGCACCCCTAGTGTTCTCACCTAAACCCTTCAATTTCTTCATATTTACGCCTAAACTACTAAAATTGTCCAACTCGGCACCTAGATTTCTCTCACCTCGACTCTTTTCCAATTTCTCCAAGCTACTTAAACCACCCATTGAATTCTTAAAATTTCCAGACGGCGCCCTATCATCAAAATCATTAGTAAACCCACCAATGCCCAAATTGTTGCTCAATCCCCCAAATCCGCCAGAAGTTCCACTAAGGTCATCGCTCTCAAACAATGTGGGCAGGCCTCCAGCCACGGCAGAATCTAGAAAACCATTAGAAATTATATTGGGCAGCTGGTTTTTCCTTGCTTTCCGATCTTCGGATATAGTCTTCAGCAAGTAAAGAACAGCCCATTTATTCTTCACGCTCCCGGGACCATTTTTGAGCGAGAATTTAGCGTAGAGATCGGCAAAAGTTAGGGCTTCGGAGGACTTACCGGCGGTGGCGAGGCGGCGCTTGATAGATTCCGCCATGGCCGAGTCATCGGCCGCAATTGATGGGGTCATGCGACTGGAGAGTATCCGAAGGGAGTATTTCAGAGCCTGATTGTACTCCTGCTGAGTGTACGACGGGGAGTTAGGGTTTTGATGGTTGGATTGTGGGGCGGTGGTGAGCAATCGGTGCACTAGTTCTTTGACTAGATCTACTACTCTCTGGTCGGCCTCTTCCATTACTGCGGCGGAGGGCGGAGGTGACAGAGCCGCAGAGACGATTGCGTGAGTGTAACTGATTGTGTGTGTGTGTGTGCGCGTGTGTGTTTTTTCGTGTTCAATATTTTGATTTTTAATATTGGGCGGGCAAATGAAAATGTTTTCTTTTATTCCGATGATACAAAAATGTTGGTAACACAAAATTAAACCTCAAACTCCATATACTGTTTATTTTATTGTTTTCTTATCATGTTATGAATAAGCTTGGGCTCGATTATTATGATACTTGAAATCAAAATTGGATCGATATTAATAATCTTGAGTTCAACGTTCGTTAATCATAATATTTAACCTACACTCTATAAATTGGCTTTCGTTCGTTTTCATGGGTGAGGACAATGAAGCCAAAAAATTCAACTACTCTTTATAGGTAGGGGCATGTGGGCGCAAACTAGTGTGGCAAGGAATTCCAAGAAGCATTCGGGATGGTCACAGGTTCGTGATAGCCAAGTCGTGCCAAGAAAATTGGCACTTTTTTTCTCTACTTGCGATCGTCAAGAACTTAAGTTACGCATGATGAGTCGCATATGGAAAGTTTAATTCATTGTTTGATGCTTGATAGTTGTGGCGTGGAGGTTTTGAACGAGATCTTCTGTTCAGTTTTTCTGTTTTGTTTTAAGGATTTTTATGAACCGTATGAATGTCGCATTTTAAGAGATGATATCATGACTGGCGAACATGTGGCATGTATATATTGACTAATAGACTATCGTTCTAGAAAATGGAACATGAGATACTAACCATTCGTTCAGATTGTATTAAATAAATGCTCATATTTTTTGGATGGGGAAAATGAATCTGAAATGCATTTTGTTAAAAATATATATATACTCATGTATTGTGGTACATTTTCATGTCGAACTGGAGACACAATCACGGGTATCGCTCTAAGTCTGGAGTTCATATTGAGCAATCCTATAATTCATTAGATTTCGTTTTATAGGTATATTACCCTAAATTTCTTGCTATAATCTCCTTTATCATCACCACCAAATTAGTACACTCAAGTCGTGGGATTGAAAAATGCTCACCTAAAAATCAAGCAAATCATTTTTGATGTGGACAAGGACAATGAAAACACAGAAACAAGTTCAATCATTTGTATTAGGATTTACCAATATGATTATAGAGGAATCTCAATCCAATTCAATCATGGGCCGTCCATGTCCATGAGGACTATACATATATATATATATGCATTTGGTTTGGTCTGTTGCAAAACAATGTTTAAATAATTCAAGAATTTTGTCTGAATGAATAATAGCAATAAGTAACTTGACTTGGACCGACGTGCAAGAAGAAGAAGGCTGGCACGCACGTACATACAACTTTCTGTGTTAGTTTTTTTAATTAGCGGTTTAAAAAGCCTTTGCATGCGACTTTCCCGCGAAATAATATACAGATAGAAAAAAAAAATAATAATAATCTTGTTCCTTTTGTGCCCCAAAAATAGACATTTTTGTTTTCTAATTTCCTCCATTTTTTGTTGCCCATCTTTATCTCTCTCCCTCTTCTTCAAGGTTCATTCCCCTTTTCATCCTTTTTTCTTGTAATAATTTTATTACGTTCATGATTCTTTGATTGTTGGTGTTTTATATCCTTGTTGCAATATCTAATTAATGTTGTCAAATGTGATTTCATCTCCCTAGTTTCTTATTCATATTGTAATTGTAGGAAATGTCTCTTAAAAAAAATAGCAAATGTAAAACCATGATCGTATGAAGTTTGCCTGAATTTACAGCTGGTTGAAAAATCCAAGGATGTTGTGTTGTGGAGGTGCAGAGGAGGAGCCCAACTGTGGTCCTCCGCCCAATCAATTTACGGCCCCACCAAAGTCCGGTAACCCGTATTCTGGTGGTGCTGCTGGAGGTATTTTATTTTACATTCATCTATGCTCTTTAGATGTGTGTTAATCTTAGGTTTTTTGGTTTTACATTTGATTTAATTAATTAAGGATTTAAACTGCTGATAGTATCTCACTTTCCTTACATATTCTTGAATACTACTGCTATTTGTTTTTCTTAGAGATGTTTATTATGATGAAAGTGAAAATGAAACCCCCATTTTTTTTTTCATTTTCTGGTAATTAAAGGTAATGAAAGAGGAGAGCCAAGAACTTCAGCTGCAAGAAATGGACCACCCCAAAAAGTTTTGCCAATAGAAATACCTGCACTCTCGTTGGACGAGATCAATAGACGGACAGGTAATTTCGGGACAAAAGCCTTCATTGGCGAGGGATCTTACGGTCGTGTGTTTTATGCCAAGTTAAGCAGTGGCCAGGAAGCTGCCATCAAGAAGCTCGATACCAGTTCTTCACCCGAGCCCGACTCTGATTTTACAGCCCAGGTAAAAAAAAAAAAAGTTACAAATGAAAAAAGGCTTTATTTTTCTTTGAGGTTTTTTGTTTCAAAAATTTGTGATGTGTACAGTTATCCACGGTTTCAAGGATGAAGAACGAACATTTTGTGGGGTTGCTCGGTTACTGCCTCGAGCAAAATAACCGAATCTTGGCCTATGAGTACGCCACAAAGGGCTCTTTACACGATGTCCTGCATGGTAATTATTTATGCCCAAGAAAAAAAAAAAAAAAAAAAAAAAATTGCCATATTTTCTTGAATTTCTTGAATGTTGTTTATATTTTACTATTTAATCTGTTGCAGGTAGGAAAGGGGTGCAAGGGGCGGAACCAGGTCCCATTCTTACGTGGAATCAGAGGGTGAAGATTGCACATGGAGCCGCAAAAGGGCTCGAGTATTTGCACGAGAAATTTCAGCCATCGATCGTCCACCGTGATGTAAGATCGAGCAACGTGCTTCTGTTTGATGATTTTGTGGCCAAAATAGCCGATTTCAGCTTGACCAACCAGTCCTCGGATACAGCTGCTCGTCTGCATTCAACTAGGGTCCTTGGCACGTTCGGCTACCATGCTCCTGAGTGAGTTTAGAAACATTTAAGAAATTTTAGTTTTTTTTTTTAATTGTGTGGGATCTAATTAATATCCATAAGCCGGAGAATCGGTGTTTTTCTCTGTTTCGAACTCTGCTTTTCTAAGTTTAAAATTAACTGACAGGTTCTTACTCGGTCCACTGAAAACGATTAACGTTGAATATCGTGCATCAGGTATGCAATGACAGGGCAAATAACTCAGAAAAGTGATGTTTACAGCTTTGGAGTTGTTCTTTTGGAACTTCTGACCGGCAGAAAACCGGTAGACCACACTATGCCAAAAGGCCAACAGAGTCTTGTCACCTGGGTAAGTTTGGTGATTTTTTTTTCTCTTTTTAATGAACTGGGCAGTTTAAGTGTGCCAGTTTATCAATCACATGCTTGCATTAAAAATTCTTCAGGCAACTCCAAGATTGAGCGAAGATAAAGTGAAGCAGTGTGTGGATCCCAAACTTAATGAGGATTATCCACCTAAGGCTATTGCAAAGGTCTGGAAAACTTGTTAATAATCACATATTTTCTTGATTTTTCCACAGGTTGAACTTTTAGTCTTGTCTTACACAATTTTCAATTGTTCATTCTCTACGAGCTATGTACAGTGCATGTCTAGAATCGCATCTGATCTCCTTTTTCTTGCTGTATCATAACAATGTGGGGACCGATTGCATATACAATCACAAAAGCAAAAAATAATGGATTAGCAGCTTCTAGCAGGAGAAAATACGCATTTTCTTTGGCTAGAATCTGACAATCATTTCCTTTTTCCAAATTTGCGAACTCTTCCTATTCGTCATTCCAATATAAGTACTTAAATTTGAAATTTCGGACTTTTTTTTTCATTTTTGGTCTGTGTGTTTGTCAGATGGCTGCTGTTGCAGCACTTTGCGTGCAATATGAAGCAGATTTCAGGCCAAATATGACCATTGTGGTGAAGGCTTTGCAGCCCCTTCTAAACTCTAAACCAGCTGGCCCTGATTCTCATGCATAAAACCCCAAAAATGAAGATTGAAAAAAAAAAAGTCATAATCTCTGTTCACCAAAGAAAAATTTACTGTGACTGACATTATATAGGAAACATTAGTCCGTTGATACATGTATAACCGATGAGTCTCTTTATGTTCCTATATCACTATTTTCTCTTTTTTATTTTATTTTTTCCTCCTCATTCTAGCATCACTAGCAAACTACATTTTTGTGTAGTGGGAACATAAAACTTAAAAACGCAGACTTTTTTTACTTCTCTCGATTGTAACTTGCACAAAAACATACTTCTATAATATTATTTTGTATCTTTAAGAGTACTAGTAGTTTTAAATCTTTCCTCAGGTTTTCAATACAGTTACTAAAAGAACCCTCTTACGTTTGTAAATCACAAAGGTAGCAAGAGGATGTTTTGTGATTAAGCTAAGCTCGAGGGACACAAAGAACGCCAATCATATTTGGTACGAGAAACAAATAATTCTTCCTTCTCTGTAACAAACAAAACCAAGATAGACGCTGCAATTATAGAAATTCAGGTAATTAACTCTGGAAATAACTGTCAAACCTCTTGTGGCCTATGCAAAATGCTTATAGAAATAAAAGTTGTCTGACAACAGGTAGCCATTAAAATGGGATTATAGTATCACGCCTCGTCCCATTATCTATAGCTCAACCTACTTCCAACAATTACAATGGGGAAAAAAAAAACCTAAAATTACAATCCAGATGATCACATAAATAGTTTGCTTATGTTGCGCTGATCTTTCTATATGTTCCTTTTCCAGCGGGTAAGGGAAAGGTGGAAATAGTTTTAATGTATTTTCACCATTTTTCCTTCTTTATAAACACAAATATTGCACGGTACAAATCTGTAGGGGTTGAAGAGCACAGCCAGGAATCACTTCTCTGTCGTCTTACGTAGTCTGGTTACTATTTTTCCTGAGAACTATTTTTCAGACGGGCCTGCACACAAAATAAAATAAAATAAATGAACAAATATTTTAGAGAATGAAGCAATGTAAAAGAAAATAATCAAAGAGTACGAAAAATCATCACGCAATCGTCTACAAAAACAGTGATTTAGAAAATCAATAACTAGGTTCTAATCAGAAAGTTACCTAACCAAACTCAACAGAACATAAAACATAGCAGTGTATTAATTCCTGCTTTTCATCTAGCCTATGTCCAAAAGAAAGACAAAAAAAAAATGTTTGACTGTGTTCAATCACACATATATCTACAATGAGTACATCAAAAATATCAATGAAAACGTGAAGTGAAGAACATAAGAAATCAAAAACACATCCTTTACCTATAATTAACGTCTGGTCCTAGGCTTGCAGCGGAATTCAGCAAATAGTGCTATGTGATCTGACGACCACTCTGGAGAAGGAAGAGCAGTGTCTTTCCGCAAGCTATCCTCATCCAGTAGCTCCAACAGAGACTCCACGGTTAAAGTGTCAGCTACAAGAGGAAAAAATAAATAAATAAATAAAAAATTAAGTCCAAAATCCAAATGAAAATAAATTTAGGTATCTATCCATCCAGACTTGCATTGATCAGAAAATTACTGCTCGAAACCACACCTGAATAAAAGATGTAATCATGAGTACCAATAAAATCTCTGGTACAGTTCGTAAAGAGGGGCTCATTTGTAGCAAGATCCATTTTCCTTCTTTGCTCTAGACCAAGACCAACCCCAGCTCTGACGAAGGATGAGTAAGCACTAACCTGTGAAGCGCAATGATAGAATTACACTCGCAGTAAACATAATTACATGTATAGCAAACGGATCCTAGGCATTCGAAATGGATTAATTAATCATGCTATACCAGTGGCAACTGATGTGTTAGTTTGGTGGTGGGGCGAAGAATTCCGAGCGGGTCCACAGCTAAATCTGGATGAAGAGGGTCAACTTTCCCCAAAGCGAGAAGGGAGTGTGGAGCACTATTATTAAAATGTAAAAATTATAACTAAACAACCATTAGGAGACATAAGCGCTCTACAGTGTGAAATCTGAATCAGCTGAATCAGCTGTAACGCCAAAAGCAAAATGACGACACACCTTCCAGGGACAGAATTGAAATCCCCACAGACTAACATTGGGATATCCGCACTAGCAGCAATCTTTTCCAGGCCTTTCATAAGCGTGTGGACCTGATTGTATATTTTAAAAATATTAGCTTCACAACATGAGGCTAGAGACACAAATAAGTAAAGAGATAGACAGCCTCAGACGAAAACCTGCCAGAGTTTCACATCTTTCAACTCATGATGCACGTGCACATGTGTATTTGCCTGTGTCGAATACAGAAGAATAGTACTTATATCAGATATTAAACCGAACAGCAACCCCATTAAGCAGGTCTATGTACAAAACTAGATCATTGCGAAAAATAAGGACAGAAGGACTATGTTATGAGTTTCAAAGAACCAAACATCACGAAACGAAACCAGGCAACACAAAAAATGTATAGTCAAAGATGAAATTAAAGAGGTAAAAAGCACACATTTTATATGTAAAAGTCATATAGCAGAAGTTTATTTTTTTTTATTTTTCTAAATTCAAGGGCCCATTAAACAACCTGTTACTTTAACAAGACAAATCGAGAAGATATGGAGAAGGGGATCACATACTCATCCTTTTAGCAATTCTATTCAGCTGATCTATAGAATCAATAGATCATCAATCTTGATCAGAGTACAGTGTAAAAGAAAGAGCAATTTTCAAATCCTCAGTTTAACATTAGACTTGCATTCCACATTTAACAATAAAAAATGCAATTCTAGAACCAACAGGCACCAACTCTCTACCCCCAAAAAATTAAACACTGCACCTCCCACATTCTGGCTATGAGAACCCAAACTAATTCACTATGGTGAAGACTAAATCAAAAACCTTCCTTACCACACTATCCCATCTCTTTGTAAATCTCATGAGTGAAATCCAGAAACTAATTCTGTACATTAACCAATATGCCTGACATAATCAGTGAATTTGGACAACAAGATTCCCACAGCTACTCATGATGAGGTTAAAGTCAGCACCCAACAGAGGGCCGTTGTCAATTCTCATTCTAGCTTAGTATTTTTTCTAGCTTAGTATCTTGGCAACTATTAAAGCATAACTTTCGCCCAAATTAATGTGAAATCTTACCACACAAACAAGCTGGCGCTTTCCTGGATTATCAATGCTCTGAATACCAAACTTGGCTTCTAGAACAATAATTAGCGAAATATTATCCTGTTTATGAAACAAATATCAAACGTTTATTAGAACCTTCTAGTATAATGAGATAAAATTAACCAATCAAATACAATAAAGAATCCAAATAGGAAAAAAAAATACATGAATACCTTTATTAACCGATTTAAGGCATTTTTCTTTTGTGAACTAGGAACCAAAGCATTAGTCAGGGATTGTGCAGCTGTGTTAAATTCAACCTGCATACAGGGATTCGAAGATTTAATAAAAGAACCAATGGAATTCAGAGAATGTGTTCAGGAATGTAGCTGCACTCCGGTCACCTCATATTTTTTGACATGTGAAAATCTATCACGGCGGAAGAAAGTAGCGCAGCCATCAATGGTATCCATTTTCCCACCAAAAACCTGCAAAATAACGGATAGTGCATTAATCCCAGTACAAGTTTCACAGCCAGACTTCAAGAGATGCTTCGACCAACCTCTCCACTTTTACTTCTAAACACAGCTTGGTAGCCATGTTTATCCAGCTCAGGTGCGAAGAATTCCTCAAAATGATTACTTTGAACCTGAAAAAAGGGTGGAAAAGAATTATTAACGAAAAAAGGAAAAAGGAAGAAGTTCCAATGCTAAACTATTTTAATTAGGATTCACACATTAATGGCATCTAAAAACAGAAAATAAACCAGGCAACACGCATGACAAATTAAGTACTTCGTGATAAGTTCTAACGCTATGAAAAGATAATTTCAAATTCCACATGGTTTATATGTACCTCCTGAAGACAGATAATATCTGCTCGGTAACCAACTATTTCTCGTAAAAGGTTTTGTCTACGATAGGCCCAAGAAAGTGCCCAAGAGGGGCAATAGCTGTATAGTTCATTCGAAGCATAGATATCGGATAGAATATTGTACGAGAGTACTGAAAATGTTACGCCAGATGAAGTGCGACCATTCATGTCCAAATGTGCTGCAACATCAATTCCACTAACAGATATCACTCGACGTGGACTAGGTGAAGGAGCAGGAATCACACGAGCCGTAGTTAAGAGTGGGGGGGAACCCACTGCTAGTTTTGTTTCAACATCTACTACAACACACTCAAATTTCAGGATATGGCCAATATCATCAGCTGTTGGTGTATATGTCTTGGAGCGTCCAACTTCGAACCATGTTTCACCACCATTTCGAGTAACTGCGGCAGGATATAATGCAGCAGTGCCGTTTGACAGACTGGGATTTGACTGAGATGCATTCATATTTGACGTTGTACTTCCTGTGCTATTGAATCGCCCAAATATTTCTTCTTCCTCATTTCCATTTTCATTCACCGCACTAGCAGCACGCTCATGCAGAGCACGATGGTGTTGCCAGGCACCAGCAAAACACTTGGGAGAACAATGGTAACTCTTGGCAACAGGTAATTTGGCCTTAACACATCCAAGGCATTGTAATGTAGCTTGCTCAGTTGGGTGGACACTACAAAGAGTAACTTTCTTATCACTTTGTACACGGTACCTGCATAGATCAATCATTTACATGAAAAAAATAAATATTCAAAACAAATACACATACAATCAAGATGTGAAATGACAACACATAAATAAACTAAGTCCTCTTCTCGGTTCAACTGATGCAATTATTCCCTCCAGAGTCAGTATTAGAGCAGCTGACTATGACCCTTATATTAATCGATGATATAGAAACTATGCTACTCTAAAAATTCTTGTTAAAGGATCATAAAGTGCGGACCAAAAACTTCGCAAAACTTGATTTACTCAAGCAATCCAGTCTCATCTACAAATTGTTGTCTAGCTTTCAGATAGCAACAGAAAACAAGTCAAAAGGCCAGCATCATAAAAAATGGATATGCATTCAAGATAGATACTTGTAACAAGTCAAAGGCCAGCATCATAAAAAATGGATATGCATTCAAGATAGATACTTGTAAGCATTCATGTTCACATACACTAGCAAATGAATGAAACAATAAACCAAATAATTTGCTCAAATAAAATACTTAAATGCCAAGGTAAATTCAAAATCTCAACTTTATAGATGCACCTGCACCAGAAAGAGAACTGCCATCGTTAACTCCACAAATCTCTGAATAAAAAGAAATGTATTTCATGCTAAGAAAACAACTCACCATCTATATCTCAAGAAATGGCCATCAATGGGGTTCAACTCAGTAGCATCATCGGTAACAACAGAATTGTCGGGTCGCTTCAAAAGCACATATGGTGTGGACTCGCAACCTACAATCGGTATATCGGAAGGCAGGTGCACCCGCAGCACACTCAGCATTTTCTCCTAACTTCTGGCGAATACTCTTCCTCTAACGTTGCCACAAACCCTAAAATCGCAAAGGACCGAGATTTGAGCACAAACTGTCGGCGGACTTGAGGCGGATCCGCCATCACCAGTGCCCAGCGCCAATCGCCAGCCTTCCTTTCGCAAAAGTCAAAACCTCAGTGATTCAAAAAAAGTACAAGAACAATTAACACCGAAGTCGATGAAAAATGATTTATCTGACAGATTCTTTCTCTTCAAAAACTCGTATTTGAATGGTAAATCGTTGATTCAGATTGGATTGATCCTTGTGCGGAGAAAGAAATAGACGGGACTTTAGAAAGGGAAATTAGAGAGTTAGGGTTTTACAAAATTTTAGTAGAGAAAAAATGGAAGAGTAGAGAGACAAAATGAGGTTGGTCAATAATCTATTAGGGGTCGTTTACTTTGCATGATGGGATAAGACAAATTAATCATACCCACTTTCCATGTCAGCATTTAGTCCTTTATTTACTTTTTGGAATGGAATCTGCATAAATGAATCCCTCATTTACTTCCATGGATTAAATGAGATTAAGGTAAAAAAGGTATAAAAAAAACGGGACTAAATTATCAGAGGTCCATGCCGGGATTTTTTTATCAGAAAGTGACGGATGGAAGGCTGCCACCTGTGCGCCATGTCATTAAAATCCTGTCCCAAACCCGCAAAGTAAATGTCGGATAGCCGGGACTAATTTTCTTATCCTGTCCCAAACCCGCAAAGTAAACGACCCCTTAATATATAATAGTAGTAAGAATTAACATAATTCATTTTTTATAAATATTTTCCTGCCAATTTCATTAATTACTAGTAATTCTCTGTGCGATGCCTGGGAAAAATTATAATTTATGTATTTTTTTGAAGATAATTTGTATATAACCATAATAAAATTGAAAAGACATGGCGGCTAATAATAATAATAGTAATAATAGTAATAATAATAATAATAATAATAATAATAATAACATTTGTTTAATTGGATATAAAATAAAAAAAATGCTATAGGTACATAATATTGTACATACGAGTGTAAATGACACTCATATTGAGTGAGACCCATCAAAAATAAAAAAATCAAGTGGACCTCATTCCATGTGAGTATTATATACACCTATATGTACATTTATTATATACTTGTAGCATTTTCCATAAAATATATCAAATATTGGACTATGTTTCATAACATTGACACTACTTAAACAAACATTAGGCCATAAGTTCGGATTTTCAGGGTTTTCATTTCATTTTTTCCTCTCCTTTTCCGACCAATTCTTTATGTCATGTCGGTCGTCTCTTTATTTTTAAATTTTTTTTTACTTGCAGAAAACGAACGTTTATAAAAAAATTGATCACATATATTGTGATTCGTACATTTATGTTTAGATTAATTTAAAACAAGAATTTGAACAAATTGTGTTTTGATTATAAGATAAGTCCAAATGATTTGAAAAATAATTAATTAGTTAAGTCGTTAAGATTTTTTATTCGTGTAGAAAGATGACCAATTAGTACACATGTGTCGTAATTAAATGTCATTTTAAGTTTTTTGAATAATTGTGATTTGGTGATAAGTTAAAATGATTTAGATAATTAATTAATTGATTGAGTTGTTTAGATTTTATAACGTGTTTTAACTTGCCCATTACACGTGTTTCCTCGTTAACTCAATTTATGTTAGTACTATAGCATGATAAACTATATTATTATATTATTTAGTGTCAAATATTAAGGACTCTTATACTAATTATGTTGTATAAACTTACTTCAATTATGATAACCGAGGTAATGTACACGTCTTGTTTAAATTATGATAATATAAGTGTACATGAACTGTTTTATTAATTATTGATTTATTTGTTTAGAAGTTTTATTAATGTGGAAATTTATGATAAGATTAGTGTGGAATTTTTATAAATTCAATTCTAATGTGGTCATAAAATATTTGATTTTCTGTTACAATTTATCAATTGTTGGATTGACTCAAATATCAAGTTTTTAATTAATTTGTTTTGAAGTTCGATTATTATGGTTCTTACCCTTACCTTATAAAATCTGAAAAGTCTTATCTTTCGATTTTGTTATGTTTCTTACTCATTGTTTTAAATAGTCTAAACATAGAACGTCAACTGATTTATTTATTTGGTCAAAGTTTTTAAAAAGGAATTTAACAACAACCTTTTTATATAGAAAATTATAATTTATGTGCTTTTTTCGAAGGTAATTTGTATATAGCCATAATAAAATTGAAAAGACATGGCTGCTAATAATAATAATAATAATAATATTCAACACAATAATAATTGTTTAATTGGATATAAAATAAAAGAAATGATAGGTACATAATATTCTACATACGGATGTAAATAGCACTCATATTGAGTGAGACCCACCAAAAATAAAAAATCAAGTGGACTTCATTCCATATGAGTATTATGTACACCTATATGTACATTTATTATATACTTGTACCATTTTCCATAAAATATATCAAGTATTGGACTATGTTCCATAACATCGACAGTAATTACACAAACATTAGGCCATAAGTCCGAATTTTTAGGGTTTTCATTTTATTTTTTTCTTCTCCTTCCCGACCAATTATCTATGTCGTGTCGGTCGTCTCTTTATTTTTATTTTTTTTTACCTGCAGAAAACGAACGTTTCTAAACAAATCGATCACATATATTGTGATTCGTACATTTATGTTTAGATTAATTTAAAATAAGAATTTGAACAAATTGTGTTTTGATTATAAGATAAGTCCAAATGATTTGAAAAATAATTAATTATCGTTAAGATTTTTTATCCGTGTAGAAAGATGATCAATTAGTACACATATGTCATAATTGAACGTCATTTTAAGTTTTTTGAATAATTGTGATTTGATGATAAGATAAGTTAAAATGATTTAGATAATTAATTAATTGATTGTGTTGTTTAGATTTTATAACGTGTCTTAACATACCCATTACACCTGTTTTCTCATTAACTCAATTTCTGTTAGTACTATAGCATGATAAACTATATTATTATATTATTTAATGTCAAATATGAAGGACTCTTATACTAATTATGTCGTTTAAACTTGTTTTATGATAACTGAGGTAATGTACACGTCTTGTTTAAATTATGATAATATAAGTGTACATGAATTGTATTATAAATTATTTGTTTATTTGTTTAGAAGTTTTATTAATGTGGAAACTTTATGATAAGATTGGTGTGGAATTTTCATAAATGTAATTCTAATGTGGTCCTAAAATATTTGATTTTTTGTTACAATTTCTATCAATTGTTGGATTGACTCAAATATCAATTTTTTAATTAATTTGTTTTGAAGTTCGATTATTATGGTTCTTATCCTTATCTTTGAAAAATTTAAAATTTTGAAAAGCCTTATCTTTCGGTTTTATTATGGTTCTTACCCATCGTTTTAAATAGTCTAAACATAGAAAGTCAACTGATTTATTTATTTGGTCAAAGTTTTTAAAAAGGAATTTAACAACAACTTTTTTATATAGATATAGATATAGATATAGATATAGATATCAACATTCATTATTATTATATAACACAAATTACAAATAAATATTATAATCCAACAAATATTTATGAATATAAACGATTAAATGTACTTGCTAATATTTGTTAAAATTTGTTTTAATTTATATTTTATATAATGGCATTCTACCAATTTTAAACTAATATACATTAGAAGTAAAAAATAAAAGGGTCGAATTTTAATATTCTTGCGACATTGAATAATGAAAATAAATATATTAAACGATATTTTATAACTATGACAAATATAGTTACACTAAAATTTCTTATAAAATTCTTGATTGAACGACATGGAATGAAAATAAAATTCATAATAATTAAACCCTAAATATCATAAATATATCCTGCTCTTTCTTATTGTTGAGGGAAAATATCACCATTTTCAGGAAAAATCACGCCATATTTGATAACACGGGTTCTTCCATGAAGCACAAGTCTCCATTTGTTGGTTATGATATCTTTCTTTTCATGATTAAATTCAACGACATAGTTGTTGATTGTATACACCTCTCATTCGTTCAGTACACCTCGAAATGCTCTCATATGTTTAGAACGGATTATGCCTCTAATGAATGAACCCTACAATATAAATTTATAAATATGAAAGAAAATATTTCTTAAAATTATTTAATTTTATAAATATGAAATAAAATATTTTTAAAATTTGAAAATTCAAATGAAAATTTTTACCTTTTCATCATGAAACAGTATATGGAATGCGTTCCAACTCTCCCGTTGGTGATGCGATTCAACTATTCGGTTTGCTCTCAAGCGCAAAAAAGGTTTATTTGTTCTATTCACGGAATCGAGTGTATCCCATAATGGCGGCATTCTATGAACTCTTGTGAATGAAGTGAATAAATAATGGTGATAGTGGACCGAAATTTAATGGAAAGATTGATGACAATTATGTAATGATAATTATGGATCAAATCTAATAGATATTCAACCATTGAATCTTCAAAATTCATAATTCCATAAAAAAAAAAAAA